GAGACGGAAGAAGAAAAGGAGAAGTAACAAGGATGAAAACAAAGGTGAGGGAGAAAACAAAAGAGGAGGGAGAAATGCCCAGAAGAGAGTGCATGACGGGAAAGGAGGAAGGTCACTTTTCAGTTGCAACTTTGTTCCCCAGGAATTTAGTTTCTAAAAACGAGAGACTTGCTAGTCCAAAGCCAGCCCTTCCTGCCTAACCAGAATCTCTAAACACCTGTAACAAATCAAGGCTCATGGGCAAACAGTGGACTTCAAAAGCCAAACGTGAGCAAGCTGTCACAGTGGCTGGAGAGGAGAGGGCTGGGGTGGAAAGGCCTCAGTTTCCTCATCATAAGCTCAGGGGGAGGTGGCCTAGGTGGTCCCCCAGGTCCCAGCATCAGGGGCTCCTGGAGGAGGCACAGAAGGCAGGCGCTCAGCCGAGGCGTAACAATACAGCAAGCAAAGAAGGTCAAGGGTCAGTAACGAAGACCTTGAGAAAGGCACCACTATGTGATACAGGCATGCAGCAGCGCAATGATGATGGCTGGGAGGAGTGTTCCTGGCTAGTCTCCACTCCGTGAAGATAACTGGAAGGGGAGGGGGGGTCACCACCGCTGCAAGAGGGCCAGTACTCATTCTTTAAACACGGGAAGGCAAGGGGTTAAAGAAGAAAACGAAACAATTCCGTCATCTGCTTGGGGGGGGGGGGGCTCCAACAGGTGCAGAGCCTTTCCATCAAGAGGACAGCTGATTTCCACCGGCCTGAAGGGTGCGTTCCGTCCCTGCAGCCCTGCCTGTGAGGTGTGGGCCCACCCCTCCTCCTCCCCTCCTCTGGGCATGGAGCGCTTGCTGTATTCCAGCACCCCTCAGTGCTGGGGCTGCAGCCCACTCTCTCCTCCCCCTCCCCCCAAGAAGCTCTTCCCATATCCTCCTCCTCCTCCCTCCCAGACTGCCCAAAAGCAACCTGGAAGGTGAGGTTCTGGAGGCCCAGGAAGGCCAGGCTCCTCCTCGGTGGGGCCCCAGGGATACCAAGGGAGCAGGGAATAGCGGCTCGGCCTTCCCCTGGGCACAGACAAAGCAGCAGACACAGTAGGTGTGCAGGAAGTGTTTACTGCACGCACGAATGGAGGAAATGAAGTCTCTGTGGACGGATGGATGATTATGTACTTGCCAACAACCTAGTTTGGAAAGACGGGGAGCCGTGATTTCACAGACCCTCAGATTTAGGCTCCCAGACTTAGAGTTCTACCTTTTTAATTCTGTCATTGAGGAAATTACAGTCCAGAGATGCTAATAGGTGGATGCCTGGGCTTAGAGCTATAAGGGCCCTCAGAAACCATCCCCTAACCCCCTTGTTTTACAGGTAAGGAAACTGAGGTACAGAGAGGTCATGGGACTTGTCCAAGGTCACACAGGCAGTAAAGAAGAGAGCTGGGACTGGACCACAGGCCCTGATCCCAAACCCAGCCTCGCTATCCTTCAGCAGGGTCAGAGAGAGTCCTCAAATAGGGTGTGTGGGGCTTCGTCTAATTAGGTGACTTGGGACACACAGCTGGCCTGAGTTTGAGGCAGACCCCAAGGCCATGAATGAGTCCAGACTGCACCTGAGCTCGTGCCAGGCAGGGGCCTTCTCAGTGTTTTCTGCATGCCCCCCCTCCCCCGAGCCTAAGACCCAGCTCCCCGCTCAGCAGGTGTTCCCTGAATGGCTGCCCCACCCCAACGCCTAGTGTGACAGTCAGTCATCCTCGCCCAGGCCTGGGCAACTGGGTCACTCTCTGAAGGTCATCTCATCACTGGGGAGAAATTGGGCACTTCCATCCTCATCTGAGAAATCCACAGAGCCAGACTTTAGACCTTCCGAAATCTCGCTGCTCTGAGCCAATCTGGTATCTCATATGGCTCTTAAGCCACAACTCAGCCCTTCAACTCAAATATTTATTAAGGACTTACTATGTGCCAGGCACCGTGTGAGGTGCTGGGGATAGGAAGGTAAAAAGGGAGAAACAGTGCCTGCCTTCAAGGATCTTACATTCTACTTGGAGACACAAGATAATAATGACAATAATAATTATATAATAATAATAACAACAAGATCCAACATAGCACCAATATGTATATAGCACCTACTATGTGCCAGGTACTGAGCTAATAAGCACTTTACAATTATTATCTCATTTCATCTTTATAACCACCCTGAAAAGCAAATGCTATTATTATGCCCATTCTACAGATGAGGAAACCGAGGCAGACAGCAGTAAAGTGGCTTGCCCAGGGCCACACAGGCAGTACTGATTGAGGCCAGAGTAGAACTCAGGCCTTCCTGACTCCAGGCCCGGCCATCTATCTAATGGGCCTCTCTAGCTGTAAATTAAGTGCAAAGTATACACAGATTGGTCCAAATAAGTGATTCCCGACAACTCCAGAGGGAGAGAATAGAATAAGGGAGGTCACAGATCTGGGCTTTGAATGAAGCAGGAGGCCAAGAGGCCAGGCCGGAGAGGGACTGACTTTGAGGAGAGCCAAGCAGTATAAATCACTGCCTCTCTAAATCATGCCACCATGTATAGTGGAAGGAGCCCTGAGGACTCGAGTTCAAATCCTGCCTCCAACACTTCCCACCTGTAGTCCAGCCCCAGCTCTCTTCTTTATTGCCTGTATGACCTTGGACAAGTCCCATGACCTCTCTGTACCACAGTTTCCCCACCTGCAAAATGAAGGAAGTAGACCAGGTGGCCTCTTCCAGCAGTAAGATCCATGGTCCTAGGAATCTACGTGGACTGTAGGGGGCAGGTAGGGAGGCTTCCCTGAACCAGAGGTTCCTGACCCCTGCATCCTGCCCCTGGGCAGTCTGGCTCTGCCAGTGGACCAGACCCCTTCTCAGAATCCTGTTTTTAAATGTTTAAAATAAGACACAAAATTACAAAGGAAACCAATTATACTGAAATAGTTACCAATTAAAAAAAAAAAAACCAAGCTCGCGGCTCCCAGGTTAAGAATCAGTGGGTCCCTTCTAACTCTGGATGCCAGGCTAAAAAGGGGGAGAAGAGAGGAGAAGTTACCCTGACTACCTCAAAGGGCCCTTTCCAGCCCTAACTCCCCCCAGGCCATGATCCTAAGTCTAGGGGAGCCTGGGATCAAAAAGTCCAACAGGGCCTTTCTCATAATAACAACACATTCCCCCAGCCCAGCCAGGCCCAGAACAACACAGGCTTGGAGGGACCCGGGTTTCAGGTCGCTAAGGTCAGCAGCCTTCGCCCTGGAGCCTGGGGAAAGGTCAGAAGCAACACGCCACAGAGCTGGACGCGGGGGACACAGATGCCCTGAGAGAAGGACGGTCAGGACAGTCAGCTCCCTTTGGAAGGGCACCTCCCAAACACCAGCAGCCCAGAGCCACAAGAAAGCTAAAATGTCCTCAGGCATCGCAGGGATCCCGGCCTCACGTCAGCACCAACAAGTCAGCTAGGTGCTGAGAAGTGCTAAGACTCAATTCCCTAAGTATGTCTTATGTGCTCATGTGTGCACCTTGCAGACAGAACAGAGGGAGGCCCACGGAGGACAGGAGGTCCCCTTACTACACAGCACAGCTGGCAGAGAGGGACCGGCTGCAGCCAAAGCCAATGCCTCCCTGAGCTGCCGGGCAGACCAAGCTAAATGGAGGATCAACCAGTCAAGGCAGAAAGAGAGGATGTGTCCTACAGAAACCCAGACCTTGGGCTCCAGGACGAGCTGGCTGGGCCTTTGGAATGAGTGGGCAGCCAGATGGGGCAGTGGATAGCGCGCTGGGCCTGAAGTCCTGAGGAAGATGAGTCTTCTCAAGTTCAAATCTGGCCTCAGACACTTACCAGCTGTGTGACCCTGGGCAAGTCACTTCACCCTGTCTGCCTGTCAGATGAGCTAGAGAACGAAAGGCAGGACCGCTCCAAGATCTTTACCAAGAAATCCCCAAATGGGGTCACAAAGAGTGACAACTGAAACAACTCAACAACACAGGTATGGCCAGGACTCAGGTGGCAAGCTCTGGGCACTCCGGCCAAGGAAGGAGCAAAGGCAGGGGGAGCAGGGAGGCCCCCAGGCAGGCCCTGCAGAGAGGAAGCCCTGGAAGATGAGGCTGGGCCGGGGGTAGAACACCTTCAGTGTCAGACAGAGAGAGCCCCAGCTCAAAGCCTCGTGGAAGGACCTCAGCAGAAGAGGCTCAAGGCAAGCCCAGAATGGTCAGCTGGGTACCTCCGGCCACACAGCTAATGAGTGTTAGGGTCTGGATTCCAAACTGGGCTCCCTGCCTCCAAACGCCACCGCATGTCTGCAGGTGCAGCAGGAGCCACTCATGGTCCCTATGGGCCAGCAAGAGGCCACCCCTGAATGGAGCACCGGCCTCGGAAAAGCCCTAAGGCCCCCCAATACACATCCACAGCCTCCTCCTGGTGAGCTCAGAAGGCCTTCCAATGCTCCCACATTTCTGACAGATTCCTCTGGGCCAATTAAGTGGGCAAGTCTCAGCCTGCTCACCCTTTCCCTTTTCAGTGCAGACACCTGGCTAGGGTCCAAGGTCGACAGCTCAGTGGAGAACAAGGAGCTGTGACCTGAGTTATTACTGATGCCCACACGACTAGGCCCTTCCCCAACCCCACAGGGAGCTACAAACACACGTGTGCACACAGGTACATGTGTATACACATGGTCACACAATGAACACAGGTACACATGCATACACACACACAGGAACACGTACACACAGGTACACATAACACACAGAGAGATGCATGTACACACACACAGAAATACACGTACACACACAGGTACACACACACACACAGGTACACATACACACAGAGATACACACGCACACACACACCCCTGCTCCCACGTGACAGAATGCTAAGTTCACCCTGGCTTCACTCCCAGGCACAAACCCTAGGGAACGAACGCTTCTCAGAGTCCCCAAGTGCGCCCAGCACAGGCATGACCCGCGGTGGCGGTGGCGGGCCATTGCGAAATCCTGGTGGGAGGGTATTTGCGGAATGCAGGCATCCCTTTGGCTCCTCCAGCTCTTGTGAAAGAAGGATGAGAGTTTTCCCACACGGCACCAACAGCTCCCACCACGGGCTGGTCAGAGAGCTCCTTGTCCCCCTAAACTTCTGCCAGCCAAAGCTCCCGAGGAGCTGGGGCCTCTCGGGCTCACGGCTCTGAACGCTGTGAGCAGGCAGCGGCGCTCCTAGGGCAGCCAGCCTTGAGTGGACAAACCATCATCGCCCCCCCCAGCACAGAGCAGCAACCGGACGGGACCCACCCCGACAGGAGGTCTGGCCGCCGCCAGACACCGGACAGCTCCCATGAGAGCCAAGAAAGAGCCTGCCAAATCTGGCAGCAGAACTTATGTGTTTAGCTAAGATAAACTTGATCTGAAATGCTCCACCAGGCCTCTGTCTAAACAGCAGGGCTCATAAAAAACACACAAGCACACAGGCCAGGCCAGACCCAACCCGCTGTTTCCATCACCCTGGCCCCTGCAGGCTCGAATGCCAAGTGGGGCGGCCTGGGGGGTGGCATGGCAGGTCCAGGGAGGGGGACTTCTCAAAGGCCCCCCACAGGCGTGGGGGGAGCTGGGGGGGAGGTCTCTTGGCCGAAGCCTGCCAACTTTGTCTTACCCAAATCCCATGACCAGGGACCAGCCTCTTCCTGCCCGGGCATTCTCGGCGTTTAGCTCCCAAAAGCGGTCCGACTTGCCGGCCTCCCAAAAGTAAAAACCACTCCAGACAGGTCAGCTCAGTCCAACGACTTCCCAAGCTCCCCCACCAAAAACCATCCTCAAAGCAGCTTGGCGGTCACATGATCCTCTTCTTGGCCAGAAGACCCAGAGCCTCCAGGCCCCGGTCCATGGCTCTCGAGACTGCCCAGCTGGATCAAACGCCTCGGATCCCTGCCTCCCAGACCCAAGTCTCTGCAGGCTGTCCCATGCTGGGCTCTAACTTCCCGCGAGACTGGCAGCCCTCCCCGGCTGCCTGGTAGAGGCAGAGGCACAATAGGGAGCCAGGGCTCTCTCAGCACACCCTCCACTGCCCTGCCCCACCTCTGGGCCAGGCTGGGCCCCACGCCAGCAGCCTGCCCGCCAGGCAGCCTCAGACTCCCCGGCCCAATCCCCAGCGCATGGAGAGGGAGGGGGCGCGGGGAGGGCAGGGAGGACCCCCAGCCCCAGAAGCCTGCGTGGAGAGGGCGATGCACAGCCTGTAATTACGCCCGCTCAGCTCTTGCCAGCCTCAGCCTATAAACACCGAGGATTACATAAGTCCACCCCTCCTGTTGAGAAGCCAAAAGTAGGAACATTTTCTCCCAGCCTTGGCGGCAGTAAGTAATAATGCTTGGTTGCCATGGGAACCCTGGCCAGCTTCCAAAAGACTCGGAGGAGCCCAAGCTGAGCTCCAGCACCAGGAGGGAGGCCTTTTTATAGCTCGGGCCTCCCCCAAACCCAGCCAGGACGGCCCCCCAAGCTCCCGAGAAGCCTCTGGGCCTGCCAGCTTCGGCCAAATGAAAGGAACGGCAGGTCTGGGGCCGAGCCCAACCCCCAGGGCTGGCCTGGCTCCCAGCCCGGCTTCCACTTCCTGGAGGTACCTCTTCTTCCTGGTCCCCTCCTTCCATCCCCAGAGCAATGGGGAGCTAGCTGAGGCTTGGGGATGCGAAGGAAGCGTCCAGCCGGATCTGAGCTCGGGTTGCATACATTCAGAATGGTGACTGTCCACCTGGGTGGGATCAGAGGACCCCAAAGGGCTGCACTACGTGACTTCCAGGGCCCGGTCTTTCTTTCTGAGCTTCTCTGGCCCAGGGTCAGCTGGGAAGGGGCACGGACACGAGATCTCAGCCTGGGACCCAGCAAGGCCGCCGCGAGTTCACTGGCCTCTCAGCTGATGGACCGCCACTAAGTAATGGCCAGGCTCTGGGCTGGGGGACACAAAGAGAAAGCGCTGAGGCCTTGTCCTCTAGAAGCTGACCTGGCAGCATGGCCCAGGGGGCAGGCTCACTCCACTATTCAACAGTGGAACGTGATACTGAATCCCTCTGCACCTCAGTTTCCCCATCTATTAACAAATTTTTTTTAAAAGGAGGGGGAAAGAAAAATCAGCCCTGCCCCACTCCCAACCTCCCAGGGCTACTGTGAGAATAAGGTAAAATCACAGATGGGAGAGGACAAGGGCTTGTGAACTCACCCGACACTAAGGTTTCATCTGAACTCAGCTCCTTGGGCAGAGAGATGCTCCTTCCTGGAAGGGGGACCGGGCTCCACAGGTCCCTCAAAGGGCACAGGGAGAAGGCGGCTTCCAAAAGGCCCGCCGGGCCCTGCAGGCGCCCCCAAGGCCGCCGTTCTGAGCGGCCTAGCATTTACAGCCCTGGTTGTGCCCAACAGCTCGAGGTTTGGCCCTCTGCCCGGACCCCCCGGGGGCAGGCGGCTCAAACGCCCCCAGTGAAGCACAGATCACATCTCTCTGGCTCCAGAACCGTGCATCTCTCACTGATCCCAAGTGCTCTGCAAACCTTTAAGCACTCTATAAACACTAAATAATGACGTATTAGCATTGCCCTGACCTCGAACCTGTGTTGGCTAGACAGAAGGCACTAGACAGATGAGGAAACGGAGGCCCAGGCTGAAGTGACATTCTGGGGCAGGTACTAGACTAAGAGGCGTGAGCCTGCCCTCAGCAAGCTCACATCCTAAAGGAGGAAACACCATGCAAGAAAACCACGTACAAACAAGAAATACTGAGGCAGGGCCTCTGGGGAGAAGGGGAGAGACCTCGACACGAAGGACAGAACTGCCCACTGGACGAGGGGCTCAGAGAGACAAGGAGGGACAAGTTAACTGGCACCCTGTGTCTGCCCTCCAGAAGCTTAGAGAAGATAGAAGGATAAAGGGGAAAAGGGGAGGGAGGGAGGGTGAGAGAGAGAGAGAGCAGGTGCTCAAAGCCCATCCCCACGAGGGACCCCACTGTCTCGGCAGTGTCTGCCCTCAGCTAGGGGAGCCCAGACAAGCGCCTCCAGGCTGGATCACAGCAGGGGAGCAAATCAAAGGACCATCTTTGTAGGCCCAGCACCTAGCACAGAGTAGGCGCACATTAATAAATACCTGCTGATCAAAGCATTGAATCCTTAGTATCACCACACATCAAGAGTCAGCAGAACACAGCAGAAAACAGGCTTGAACTTGGAGTCAGAAGATCTGGGCTCAGAGCCCCCCTGACGCTTACTGGCTGTGTGACCTCAGGCAGGTCATCTAACCTCTCTGGGCCTCAGTTTCTTCTCCTGTAAAATGGACTGAGGACTGCCAGAATCCCTCCACAGTATGGATGTATGATCTGCCAGCCAAGAGGCCTGGGTTAGAAATGTTGCTCTGACACCGGCCAAGACACTTCACCTGGCTGGGCCTCAGTTTCCTCATCTGTAAAATGCAGATAATACCAATCCCACAGGGACGGTAAACTTCAAGTGCCATCAGTCATCCCATCAGGGGTCGTTACTATTATTAGATAGTAGTGGGAAGGGCACTTCAGGCAGGGTAACCAACATGGGCAAAGCAAAGGAGCTGGGGAATATTCACAGAAACTATTCCCATTCCATTGCTATGCCATTTCAAACTGGGCGACTGACCTTTCTCTACAGCGGCAAGCGATGAGGGCCTGAGATCCCAGCACCCCAATCCATCATCACTCCCACCTTGGCGTCATCCTCCACCCGCCACCCAGGGAAGAAACAACAGCTCCTCAGAAAAGGAAGCCTTCCTGGAAGGCTGCCAAGAAGGACAGGGAGAACAGTTACCATCGGGGAACAGATCCCAGCTTGTGCGCCCAGAAAGAGCCAACTCAGCAGAACACCGCCAGGTTCCGCTGAAAAAAACACCCTAAAACACCATCCCCATGATGACTTCATGACATTCCTTTCCACTTATTTAGGTCCACAGGCAAATTTAATTTAAAGGAAAAAAAAAAAGAGAAAATACGTTTTTAAAGATGCATTAGTGTCTAAGCAAATCCAAGCAGTTCCCAAAGCTAATTAGGAGATGGGCCACGAGAGCCCTTGGAACCAAATCTAAGAGAAGACGGCGCCACGAAGGCTCGGCATCCCGGTGAATTCGCGGGTGGCCCGGCACAAGCGGGTTGGCCCTGCTTTCTCCCTCCGTAAATGAAGGGCTTAGTGGGGATCACTCCTTCGACCCCTCCTGGCGCTCCAGGAGTGCCCTGTGTCCCCTGAGGAAGCACTGGAGATGTGATCAGAGCACCTGGTTCCCATGTCTGCCTCTGTTGCTTAGGAGGCTAAGGTGAGCACACGTAGGTGCCATGCTTCAAAAACCCCTCCAGCACCATCTAAAGGCCCCTGGGACTCAGAGTTAGGAAGGCCTGAGTGCAAAACCTGCCTCAGGTATGTACCAGGCAAGTCACCCAAACTCTGTGTCTCAGTTTCCTCCACCTGTAAAATGGGATGATAATAGCAGCTACCTCACAAAGAGGTTGTGGACAAGAAATGAGCCGTAATGGGTGAGGTGCTCTGAAAACTGAGAACCCCATAGACACGTTAGCTATCATCGCTGCTGCTGCTGCTGCAAGAACACCACTTACCTCTGCCGGCTAACTGAGCCCTTCCAAGCTAGAAGGGCCATTAGAGATCTTCCAGGCCCACCCTTCATCTGACAGAGATGGGGTCACTTAGAGCATAAGTCACAGTGCTAACAGCTAAAGACAGCCAGCATTTACAAAATGTCTGCTCAGGGGACAAAGGAAGATTAAAGTCCCTGCCCTCAGGGAGCGTCCATTCTAAGGGGGGGGGGGCAACTTGGTGAGAACTGGAGGGAACTTGGGGAAAAGCTCTAGCAGTGGGAGGGGGCCAGGCAAGGCCTCCTGCTTGTAAAGGAAGGGGTCTGGGCTAAGTCCAGGAGACGAAGGTGAGGAGGATCGTGAAGAGGATGGAAAGGCAGCAAGAGGGCTGGCTGGCAATAGGTGAGCTCTCTCAATGAGCGGATTCTACTCTGAGCTTCTGTGGGAAGACAGGATGTCCAAGATGGAGAAGGGACAGCCACCCCAAAAGGCCACCACCTGCCTTCAATACCATATTCCTAAGTGTCCTCAAGGACTAAGAAAGAAAAACAACTTTGACAGACAGCAGGAGGAGCTGCGAGAGCAGGTGGGAGACCGGCATCTGCTGCTGTGACTCAACGTCCCACACCTATCCCCTCTGCTCAGCTCACACCAACACCCCCACCCTGTGACAGGCTCTCCCAGCTCCCTCCCAGCTCCCTCCTGGACACTGCGTCTTTGCCCCCCTCAGTCCCCAAAACAATCTCCCTAGCACACAGGCCGATGCCCTGCTCACACCCAAAAGGCTAAGGACCTGGGCCACTCCAGGCCAGATTCCAATCATCCTTCCAGACTAACGTCAGACCACTCCCCTTCCTGAGCCTGGCTCCCATCTCTCAGGAGGGGTCATGTCATCTCCCACCTCCTAGAATTCACACACGCAGCACCCAGGACACCAGACAAATCAGGTCAAGTCAACACGCATTTATTAAGTGTTTACTGTGTGATTGGTCAGAAGTTCTTTTCCTTTCTCAGCTCTTTGTACTGAAATCCTTTTGATAGGACCACAGACAAAGGCTGGAAGAGCCCTCAGAGATCATCTCATCCCACAGATGAGGTAACTGAGGCATCCAAAGGCGAGGAAGTAACTTGGAAAATCATAGGAGCACAGCCTTGGAGCAGAAAGGGACCATTGAGGGCCGTCACTTCATAGAAGATAAAAAGGAAGCCCCAAGAGGGTCATGGACTCAGGTCAGCATCTGAGGCAGAAACCAAGCTCGGGTCTCCCGACTCCCAGCCCAGGGCTCTCTCCACTGGGCTGCCAGGCACCTGCTACTTGACCAAGGTCTCGCAGGTGGCACAGGCCAGGGGTCTGATTTGAACCCAGGTCCTCTGATGCCAGGACCAGGGCACATTCACCCCCTCTTCCTTCAGGAAGCCTTCCGTGATCTCCCAGCCTGCCCTCCTCCGCCTCAAACCATCCCCAAAGTATTTGGTCCTGCTGCTTCCTCTGCGCGCCCACTCGCATTCCCCTCCTGCCACATCTTTCTCTGTGCATGCCCTCTACGGCCCCATTAGACTGGAAACTCTGTGAGGGCAGGGGCCATCTGCTCATGAGCTCTGTATTTCTCTCAGTGCCTGGCACAGTGCCCTTTGCTTAACAAAGAGGTGCTTGATACACATTTGCTGAATCAAACGCCTTCAACCTCACCCGAGAAACAATTTGAGAAGTGGCCAACAACACAGAAAAACAATAGGGAGAGGTCTTTGGCCTTCAGTTCTCTCTTCTGAAAATGAGGCGGTCTGGACGAGTTGACTCTAAGGTCTAAACCTAGAAGTCTAGGAGGGGCCCAGGGCTAGAAGAGATAGCGCACAGGATCCTGGGTCTCCAGTCAGGAAGACCCGAGTTCAAATCCAGCCTCAGACACTGACTAGCTTTGACCCTGGTCAAGTCACCTCTACCTGCCTCACCTTTCTCATCTATAAAATGGCAATAATAAGAGCATCTACCTTTTAAAGGACTGATGTAAAGATCAAAGGAGAGCTTAGGTGCTTAGCCCAGTGCCTGGCACACAGTAGGAGCTTAATCTTCAGCTCTGCACCAGCAGCTACCTTCTTGCCTCCAGAACAAAGTACCCTCTCCCTCCTGGGCATGGCATTCGGAGCCCTCCAAAATCTGGCTCCGGCAGCCCTTCGAGTCTAATTTCACCTTCATCCCCTTTGCACAATCCAAATATGCACCAAATTGGTCTGTGCACTCACCCTTCCACCACGCCTCACCAGGCCTTGGCCAGGCCCATTCCCTATGCTGATAATGCTCTCCTCCTCCTCTTGTAATGCATAAGCTTCTTTCAAGGAGACTGGTCTTCAGAGATGAGAAACACTGATACACATACCTAGGCCCTTGTCCTCTGGGGAATTCCGCCAACACCCAGACCAAGCTGACCAGACACACACACAAATAAAGGCTTTCCGTCAACAACGAGTACACAGGATGTCTCAATACCTGGCCCCATGGTTGGCTACATGCCACGGTCCACACCCAAGCCCTTGTCCACTCCTTCTTCCAAGAATCCTCTCTTCCCAACCGAAGGCCAGACAACTCCCCCAGGATGGGAGCAGGGAGTGGGGCACAGAGCTAGAAACCCGTCCCAAACCCCAAGAAGCCATGTGGGCTCTGCATGGACTTCAGGAATTGCCAGGTCGCTGGTGTCAGCCAGGGCCCAGAAGTCGGCTGCCATTGCTGGAACCACCTGAAATGTGACTGGGTTGGGGAGAAGGGGGTGGCTAGCCAGGGTTTGCTGATCTTATCCTCACGCCAGGCAAGATAAAAACAACCCAGGGGAACCCAAGATAGAATCTGACCTGCAAGATTAATCAACACCACATCTAAAAAATAAAAA